ATTTCATCAGGTAAAATGTAGGTTTATTTTGTGTCAAATACCAAATATGGATACACCCTATAACTAAGTGATATTCTGCGAAATATACACAATTAACTAATTACATCACCCACTAATGTCTGTAGACGTATGTGACTGATGTCCTACTTCTGATGACCTTGTTAATTTAATAAATTAAATTTTATTAATAAATTTCTTTTAACGAAAAAAAAAACACGTATCAACTCACTTCACTGCTTTCTTTTTAGTCTTCATCCGCCAGGGTTGATCTCTCATATTCCGTATAACGTATTTCTGTTTTTGAATATATTGGAATATCTGAGCAGGTGTGTTGAATTGCGTCATGGTTTCCTCGTCATCGTTTGCAGTATCTCTATAGTAACGGAAACAGACGGAAAACGTTATCACTTGGTATTTCAATAAATTAAGGGCTGGCTTCGTTGCTTCATTTCCGTATTTAAAAGATGTGTTGCCTGCAACGACTATTGAGACTATGTCATTTCCCGTAAGACTCCAGACAGCGTGACTGTTTGCGCAGTAATAGTAGTGAATAGATCGCTTCTAGCTATATTTAGAGATGATTTTACCTTGAGATGTTACGTTAGATTGTACATGTCGTGCTAGAACCTTCAGTTTTAAACAGCACTAATTGGTCCAAAATAGATTTTTTCAGTTTATTTCTGTACGTCACACAAATCAGTTGATGGAACATTTATTCTCGGAATAGTTTAGCGGAAACAAGGTGAATAACATGTGTATGCATTGATCGACTGTGTTAGGAACAATCATCAATATAGGGTGCACGAAATACAGTCAGCAAAATTGGTAAACCGATCACATAATAATGACTCATCGTATTCTCAACATAAAACTAATCGCAGATACTTTTGCTGATATAATAAATAACATAATACGTCATTTCTGATTTTGTCATTATAAATAATTGATGGAATGCTGTTAAGATATAGAACATAACACCACGCCGTCATTACTATCTTCAAGTTATCACTGGCTAAATATCGCCTTGATACAATTTCAACTCAGCTAACATAGACATTGTCTATGGTGATCTAAATTATTCATCACACGGTCGCAACAAGACTATTGGAATGACATAATAGAAGCAACAGGACTTTAACTTTCCCACGATTTATGTACTGGGTGAATATTTACTTTACTAAAAGTACAAAGTTGACACGGGCACTCAAGTAAAGAGTGATCGACGCCAGTGCAGTCATTGCAGTGTCAACGATGCTTGTTCAAAGACTATTGACAGGCATGAGCTGAATACAACCATCCTACTTATATATGAAATAATACAAAGACATTGTTATGATCTTGACCCTTTTTAAAAAAGCAAATTAATCAATTCTATTTGTCATGTTTGTCATTCATCATTCATAAATGTTCACTAGGAATACATTTGACAGGATATTACTTTCCGCGGCCTAATTAAAGGTTTTAAGATTAAAATAATAGCTTTTATAATTATAGTCATTATTTTACTATAATGTGAAATAATAGCATGAATTATAATTTCAATTGCAGACTTCCTCGGATCTACTATCACCAACTTGATTTGTTATTCTGATTTAGTGAGTCACGTCGTTTCCCGTTAATTTGTGCGTGTTTCCACGTGACACCAACAAGTTGATGGATTTAAGTTCCATTTCTCTGTCTTCAATCATTTGTTGAGAATTTGTTTCTATGTTCTCGTGTTTTTCATTCGTGGGAAGTATGTCCTCCAACGCTGTCAACCAGTTCTAGCATACTGAAATATCGCAGTCTAATACTATGTAGCCTGTTAACGATGTAACTCATATTTATTGAAAAACGGTCTGCTTGATATTATTTTTTATCCGAATTCTCCCCAATGCCTGCAAATGACATAATTCAATGGGGGTTTATATATGATTAATGTATTTACGTAACTCATGACGTCATATGACACTGCTGTGATGATTTATCTTCAATAAAACAACAATTCGCTATGTGTCGAAGAGTGGTTATCGAATTACGAATAGGGTATACTATTACATGATATGCGCCCCATGATGATATTCCAAACAAAACAAAAAGCACACCAATACTCTACTTGTAAGTACATGCTGCTGTATAAGATAATTCGAGCCACTTATCTACTAGGATTTAACTGTCACCTATACAGTGTCACAATTTGGTTGTTCCACTTTTTGATAAGCACGTAGAATACAATATTTGACAAATAATTGCTATGACAACCACAAGTTATATGTAAAGCTATATGTGTACAGGCAAATTGTTTTATTTCAAAATTTATTCAATAAAATATTACCATCGTCGGAAATGTACTTATATGACAAACACTTGAATCATGTTATCATGTCTATTTAATCTATTTTCGAATATATTAGCATGCTGTTTCCTGTCATCGAACTAGGGTTACAATTTTGAATTGTTAAAACACATTGTGACGAACACATAAAGTTGCCAAATGTTAACGAGTACTAATAGAAAAAAAATATTAAATAGAAAAATATTGTATAATTCTTGGGTGATTTAAGGTTTATGATTGTTTAGGGTTATGGAGAATTCATTTCACCTTTTGCTAGAATTTATATAGAATATATGCCTTTTTTATTTGTATCTACAGCGAAATTGGCAACGTTATTATCGTGTGGATCAGGTGGATGTCTATAGATTCATATATCATACACCAGCCGTATTTCTACACAGTGCATTTAAACGAATTAACAATTTTGTAACCGATTAATCAATTAAATGTTTATTTTTTATTATATGACTCTACTATTTGTATTGTCGATTACATTGTTTAATGGGTCAAGGACCTTCACTGCAAATGAAAAGTGGCAAATTACGCACAATCATTTGTTACATAGTATATATGAACGACAGTTCACAACAATGACGAACTGTAGGAGACTCGGGCCGTCACGCGCTAGCACGGCATGTCTTTGACACACCCCACGCGCAACAATTAACCAAAAGCAGTTTGTATGCGGACTTGTGTGGCTAAATATTTAAATCATACACGTATAATAATACATATATTAACACGTTGCTGAAAACTACCCGAAGTCATTACTCAAAGAAACAATTTATCTCCGCCATAACAAAAGCAATAATTAATGAAATTGCGCGTAAAATATGAAAAGTAGTGCAAATGCAGTTTATGATATGTGTTTCAACCCTGACGCTGGAAAATGAGAGTTGTTGAAACAGTTATTCATGAATGGAAGTAACACATAAATAATGTTTGTACAATATTCGTGTGTGTATGTTTCATTTCTGTTATTTCAAATATGTAATGTATGTCAACAATAACTGCACGCATGACACATTTGAAGGCCATACAATCAATAAAACTCAATAATACAAAAACAATGAGAACTCTTTCACATAAAGAAAACAGAATGACACAGTTCATTATTTACTTGAATATAAGCTGCATAATGTGGTAAGAAAAACACCAAATATAATTTTCATTTGCAACAGTGTTAGCATTTAGTCCAATATTACTAATTACTATCGCCAAATGGCTGTAGTCCAGTTATTCTTCCAGTAGTTAATCGAATTTCCGTGAGGTCTTCAGCCGTGAACTTTCACACATCAGCTCAATAACCGCTGCCAAATTACATCCGCAGATTACATACATACAGGGCATAAAACAAACACTTTCAAACAGTTGAAACTTCTCCAATAATGTAATTTGACGTATTTTCCACTCATTTAAAAAAAATAGTGAACTTCGTTAAATTTATCGGAATATTTCTTCGACAACGAAAACAAAAACAGTAAGTTAGTAATTGATATCGTATCATATCACTCCCGCTCATTCACATACGTACATACACAACAACATTCACAAATGATAATGATTTAATTATTCATGAAAGTTAATGAATAATGAAAAAAAATGTATTTACCTGAATTCATCAATGTCGAAAGTATCTGTATCTGTTTTTTGTTTGTTCTTATTTTTCGCATGACTTGCTTGAGCTAGCGATTTTCTTCTTTTTCTAAGGTTCGAAAAACTGGTATAAAGTTCGCCATCTTCGGTATTGTCTGTGTTGGTTGTTTGGACAGATGATCTTCTCTCAGGTATTTCGATAATAGCGATGTCTCCTATAATGTCAAAACGAATTATATATGATTAGAAACTAATTCCCAATACTCACGTTAACTCTTTACATTGTGGGATATGCGCCTTAAACCAGTAATGTAGGTTACTCGGTTCTACAGATTAACGTGACCGAATGATTTCTGTCAATTCATAGTCACATTGTCCTGAAATAATATCCAATTCATTTGTGAACTTGGGACATAATGTTGACATTCTTGATGATTTAAACACTTATTTAAAGGTTATCAGAACAAACGCATTCGAACCACTGTACTCGTTACTCAAGCATACATCTAATATATTAGTATCAACTAATGTCCATGCTTTGTATAGAAGTTTGTTCAAAGTCAAATGCCGATTGCTCCAGCAGGATTAGATAAAACCACCATGAACCGTCAATGAATAGTCTCAATAATTTATTACCATGTGACTATTGCAAATGATTATTCGACAAAACGTTGTTCGATCTAAGAACCATAAATGTATTCGTGCGACTCATTGTCGAGTGGTGGTTAGCGATGATGCAGTATCATCTCATGAAAATAGACAAGAAGACATCTTCAAGAGGAAGGAATGTAGCGGAATATACATCCTCCAAAATCCTCTTTTTTTTAAATTTTATTCTATAACTACATATACATAAATTAAACTGTAATCTGTAATCTCTAACACAAACACAATGCTTATATTCCGTTGGGAGAATGCTTTGATTTTGACTTATAGACGGAATGTACGATATATTGCTAACAACGTAGTTAGTATTATGTTTATGATAGTAAATCACTGAGTCTGGGAATTAATAATTGATTGAATGCAGTTCTTTTAATGTGTTCCCCTGACGTGTGATACACTGTCATGTTTAATACCTGTTTGGGTTACCATGTTGCCATAGTACTATATGACGTTTTTCTATTAGATTTTAAAACAGTAATAATGCATATTATATAATTGCTTCATGATTCACTGCAGTTTTTGAGATTATTATTATTTCAAATTATGAATAACTGATGTGTCATTGTGTTAGAATAACGCATTGTGGACAGTGGTGTTCATACCTGTCGCTTAAGCACAGGGCACAGCAATAGAATTGTATTGTACAATTTGTAGTGCTGTTTGACTACCTAAGCCAATGATTTACAAGATTGGCACCAAACTCTGTGCATTTTATGCAATGCAGTAATAACAAATGTTTTACTTAAAAAAAGCAAAGCTACAGCACTTACATTTTGGCGGGAATTTTAACGCACACACACACACACGGACCCTCTGCTCTGGGCAAAACATTCACATACTCTTAGAGTCAGATTCATTTATCACCATACCAAATGATTTTTAATTTCCTGCGATAATGTTGGTATTTATCAAAGAGTGGAGGAAAGGAAAATAAAAACCGACCAAGAAGATATAATTATATATAAACAAAACTTACTGGCTGATGAGGTCGCCATCGTGATATCTCGGAAATTGAACTGACTTTCAGGTAAATTCCAATGCTACGTGTTCGCGTTCTACCACTCCATCTGTAACACAATCACATATACACGTCAGGATTGAGTATTTCTACTGTCAGCTGGTCAAACTTGTAACTGTAAATATGAACAACGATACGCAGTGCGCGTCAGTTGAAGCACGTTAAAACTGACTGTGTTGTAAGAAATACGCCTGGTGTATCTTGGGTGAAATGTGTCACGCTGAACGCATTCGGAAACAGGTGCATGCGCAAAAGCTACTGGAATCGTACATGCCGTTACCTCTTGTGCCGCGTAACGACACTGTTACTGGCGTGGGGGCTATTAGAAATATGTTATTATATATATAACTTGTTACAATACTGTAGTATGAGTTCTACAAACGCCGTTACCGTTTCTGATTCACACAGTCTTCCCGAGGACCATTTGATACAAGTTTACGCTACAATACGATAAACAAGTTGTCCGTCATGTGGAGCTCACACATTTCTCTTGTCCATTGCGTAATATAACCAGACTAATGCAATTGTAGTAGGTGAAATAAACAATGTGTCTATTGCATCCATAGCAACGCGCCTGACTTTCTATTTAATCAAGCATAATTATCATTACATCAATTTAAAAGCATTCAGACGATTCCTGTTTGGCTATACCCATAAGTCACTGCGTTAAATATTGCCTAATGTAATCAATTTCACAAAATGGCGTAACGTATATTTGTTAAATATTTCAAGGGCGTCGAACGAATACAGTCACTTCCATGGAGCCTTATCGACCATGACGGGCTCCCGAGGACAGCTAAATACAGCGCGTATATTGTCCCACCACAATAACTTTGTATGAATAAACAATGATGGCCATGACAAAAATAATGCACCTAGACGAATTCAATGTTTAGGCTTGAGTTAATTGATTTATTCGGATTACACTACAACCTACTTTAATGATTCAAAACAATTCCACCTAAAAAAACGCTTTGATAAGCGACGCCATGCCAAGGGTTTATCATCTAGTTATATTCCACTACGATTATAGACCCATGAAATAACGTATCAAACGTAGCAATTTGTAACCATGGAGACTACATTAGACTTGTAGATTGTGTCATTGTTTATTTTCCTTTATTACAATATGCATATATCCATTAAATTTGATTATTCAGAAACAGGAAATCCCGGTCGTTTCAACCTGGGTTCCGGTGTAAATTGAGCGCTATGAAAACGCAAATAAACCAAACAATTTTTGTAAATTTACACTGTCGCTGTCTACATACATTACCCAACATGCATTGCTGCACTGCTGATAGTTAATTGCTGTTTTGTTAATTGTAGTCAAGTTATTGAGAGTGAGTGCTGTAATAGTGAGGAATGATTGATTCTACTTTAGGTTCGAATCAATTATTGGTTCGACAGTGCTCAAAGTACGAATAAATCAATTTCTGGAAAGTGGCGCATTCATCAAATTTATTTTCAAATGAAAAATCATTCAGAAAATACGGAATGAAACGCTTACGTAACAATACTTCTTTTAGTGTAATCACATAACGTCAAGCAGTTCATCAAATTGATCATTTCCTGAATGAAAAGACGGCTATCATATAATAAGTAACCCAATTATTGAATCCGGATTTCAAAGAATAACAGAGGTCACATAATATTTTTTCTCTGAAAATTGGTAATGTTTATGTGGTTATTGCATGCATTGAATTACATGTTATACAATTCAAAATGTGAATTGTATATAAAATCAATACAGTAAACATTATTTAATTGTGAAACGTTAGATGTGTTCAACAATAGTTGTGGTAGTTAAGCGACTCTCTTGCTTAATCTCGAGGTGTCAGTAATAACGCTTGAAATTGTACGCTACACACTCGCTTATCGTTCACATACATTTTATTTTCAACAATTTTGCAACTGCGGCATATACGCATTTTTAAATAAATATGCGTTCCAAAACATTGTACAAATTATTTTCTACATTATATATATTTTATAATGATAATGATAATAAATAAATAAATAAATAATTGAATACATGATCAAAAAAAAAATATTAAAAATAAAAAAAAAGACCCAAACTAAAATCGTATTTAAATAGGTGAAGCTAGAAACTTTATCAAAGCGGGTCACGGCTGTCAAAAGTGAAGACTGTTGTCGGTTTTACATACTAGAGGCAAGCGTCAACAGACGACCAAATCTGCATTTAAAGACTCTGTTGCCCGTCTGATCTCCACGATAAATATGTTTTCCTCGCAGACAGAGCTTCAGATAAAAACACTATGTTTGTACCTTAGTAAAGATCTTACTGGTAATAATAATCCTTCTTACAAACACAAACTAATTATCAAAAATGAAATGTTTGATAAACACAAATCATTTATGAATCATATTAACATTCTTTTCGAGAAAGAAATGGATGACTGGACCAGCTTGTATTAATTTAACAGTCCTATATATTGATGTTATTCGTTCCATCGACACATATAATATGAGTTTATTACGAGGATACCGCAAAGTATGCACGAAGACAGTACAGCGCAAGTATCGACCGACGCGCAGCCTTATTATTATAATCCCAAGGATACGTTATAGGAATGCCGAAATCCAAAATGTTTTGAACAGAATCAACGAACTTCTCTGTGTAGAGTCTGGTCAAACCCTGGTGCCAGCCATGTTTGTTTTTATTATCAAAAAACGGTTACGCGCGTAATCGTTCCATATTTGGAATTCGTATTTACTTATATGGTAGGATGAAAATACCCCGTAAAATTCCGCAAAATTACGGCGCGCTGTAACTTATGGCGTTACGGGGACAGATGTATAATATGTATAGCTATGATATTCCAATGATATATCCAGTTGAACTTGAGATCAAGAAGACTACTTGATCTGATTTTTCTATTTCATGCTTAGATCTGTGCATTGAATTTGAATAAGAGCTTTCCACGAGCTTTCTACCGGACTATAAGACAAGAGTGGTGATTTTAGTTTTACTATCATTAATATCCCCCTCTCCCCCACCTATGGGATATGTATTCCACAACCCTTTCAGTATGTACGGCCACGTAGTACATATGCAGACCTTTTAAAGTAACATTGTCTTCAATGGTATTGTAGAGATCGACTGGCCTTAACATTCAATGTTTTTTCATCAGAGTCTGTAGTTAATTGCAATAAAACTGTAAAGATAATCTTATATTGCGTCAATGTCATTTATCTGATTTAGACCTCAGGTTTTAAACAGAAACCATTTGATCATGGCCCAGAATGATACATGCCAGGTGCCACACGTGGAACAAGATGTGCTCACTCTTTTTCGAGACATTTGAAACCGCTTCATTAATACCATATAATTAATATATATTAATATATTGACTATGTAAGGGTAATTTACTTGTCAGGTATTTTGTTCTTGTGGATTGCTTTGTCAATTGTTGTCAGAAATTTGTTTTGTATTCTTGGGCTTGTAAATTTCCTCATACAACTTTGTTTGGGATGTTACGGTTGGATACGTTATTAACACTTTAACAAGATTCTCTTCACGTATTATTCGTTAGAAAAGAAGTATATTGTGAATATTTCGAAAATAGTTCGGGAGTAACGATTGTGCTGCGCCAAACTGCCATATAATACTAAGTACCCATGCACATTATACAATTATTCATTTATAATAAAACTGATATCTTGGCAACTTTGAAGAGACTACACAATGTTTATCAAATCATATACATCAGCTCAACATTTCATTCAGATTTAAGGTGAACGTCTTATTAAGTATAATTGCAAAAGTAACCGGGTAACTTCAGCTTGATATCAGATAGGGACTAGATTAATGAGTCGATTGAGCGAGTTAGAGTGGATGCCGCTGTACGTAACAACTTCCCAATGTACATCCTTTAGGTTACATGCATTATAGCCACTGGTATTCACGTGGTGAGTTATCTAATAATTATTACCAGCGTCATTTATTATTCTCCCTGGCCACCTGGGAAGTAATTGAACACAGTGTGGACACATTTGGCGATTAGATCAGAAACCGAGGTCCGGTGGGACTGTACAATCGAAAGTGAGATCAACGCAACTCCATTTACACCTTTTGGCATCATAACCCAAAACGTGAATATATTTCAGATAACCTAAAAATATATGCTAATGAGGTATGTTTTATCACGCCTGCGTTCACTTGTATTGCAATTATTGGTAAAGGGTTACAAAATACATGTATTAATATTTGTTCTTTAGTTTTTTTATGAAGGTTATATATTATTGTTCTTATGCTGTGGGAATTGGCGCTCTCCATCCTCGGTGAAACACACCTAACACAGGCCAACTATTATTCTTGCATATTTACACTTGTATTGCATGCTAACTAATTCATAATGGCCATGCATATTTGAAAATTAAAAAAATAACAACAGAAAACGGTTGTTTCGAGGCTTAGCCTAAAATTGTTTGGAAATCATTGATTTGTTCCCCATCTTTGGTAAACTTCCTGAAGATTTTTAAAGGAGTATAATTTAACCATTTCGTCACATTCCAATACGTTTATTGATGATAACGTGCACCGTATTAGTGTCACTACTTTCAATTAACGAGAAATGACAGGAAGGTTGAATATGATGAGCGGATGCCCTTACGTCCACTTACGTCAAGTATCTGAGATAGTCAGTGTAACCTAGGTCTGGTTCATTCAGTCACTTTTATAAATGTCCTGTAATTACAAATGAATGCGCCATTGAAGGGATTGACACCTAGCTACGTTATCAAAAGGATGATTTGGTCTGAGAAATAAGTTACAACAAAAGAAAGATAGGAATGTACACATTGTATATAAGTATGTAAGTGACATTTAAGATTGGGTAACTCTAACTGTGACTTCAGTATATAAATACGTGCATTGCGTATT